GGGTCTTTTGCACGATGAAGCCAGAGAAAGAGAAAGAACCAGCTGTTTGTTTAAGCGAAACCCTGGGACTGGGGCGTGGTGGGTGCTGGGAGGCACACACAGGCTCACTGGCCTCCCGGGCTGGCTCAGCTGGAGAGCAGAGAACTTCCACGCAGGCCACTGCCTGGCTGGGTGGCCTCAGGCAGGTGACTTCACTTCTCTGAGCTGCAGGTGCTTCGTCTGCAAAAGAGAGATAACAAATCCAACTCTGCCTCATGGAGGATGAGATCACAGGACCCTGCCCCCACGGGAAAGTAGAATGTTCCCGTGAAATATTTCTTAAAGCGGAGACAGCGTAAAGCAGAGAAGCAGTCAACCTCAGGACACGCCTTACTAACTGATGTACAAAATAAATTGGGGCTGAAACTGGTTTGGCTCAGTGGATAGAACATCTGGCCTGTGGACTGAAAGATCCCAGGTTCGATTCCGGTCAAGGGCATGTACCTTGGTTGCGGGCACATCCCCAGTGGGGGGTATGCAAGAGGCAGATGATCGATGATTCTCTCTCATCGATGTTTCTAACTCTCTATCCCTCTCTATTCCTCTCTGTAAAATATCAATGAAATATATTTAAAAAATAAATGAATAAATAAATTGGGATGAGGCACAGGTACTTCAGACACAGACCGAAGCTACAATGGCTTGATGCTGAGATGCTGAGCGTAGCTCCTGGGGAAGGAGCTTGGCGAGGCCACCCTCGCTGCTCAGGGTGCACACTGCCTCTCTGAGGGCTCGTGACAAAACGAATGCTGAACGCTGCTTGATTCTTTGCCTTTTTCATAAAAGCGACAATCTATCTGTCCTCTAGCAAAAGCAGGTACTAATGTAGGTCTTTCCTAAAAAAGCAAAGTGGTATAAAGTGAACGTTCAAAAAGCGGGGGATACCTGTACATGCAAACTACTTGGCATGGTGCCTAGCACGTATTGATACTCAATAGTTATTCTATCGTTATTATGATCCAGCACTGGTAAAGGAGCCAACCCTGCGATCTCAGAGAGATGCAATGAAGGGGCGTTGTGCTGGGGGGGGTCAGAATACCTGCGTCTGTTTCTAATACAGCACTGACCTGCTGTGGGATCCTAGGAAAAACCCCACCTTCCTTCTGGAAGCTTCTGGGCCTTCATGTTGCTGTCAAGTGAGTGGTTGGCTCTCTGAGGGTCTCCCATGGTCAGGATGCTCCGGATCCATGCCACTCCTGCTCTGCTACCCGAGGTGGCCTGGAGGATCAGCAGGGCTGGGGTGAGGACCCCTCAGGTGATCTGGGCATTGAGAACGGCCCGATAGGCCAGGAAACCCAGCTTCTGTCCCCAGCCCTGTGTGACCTTGGCCAAGGACCCGGACCTCTTTGCGTTTCCTTTCATTGCCCAGAAAGTGGAATGAATTTGCCCCCATCCTTCCCAACACCCAGGGCTCAGGAAAGGGCAGGCTGGGGAGCAGGAGCTGGGGAGGCTCACCCTGGCGGGGGTGGGGTGTGGGGTGTGGAATAGGAGCAAGTCCATAACTTACCCTGGGAGAGGATAGCACTGAGGGGACCACAGAGCAACTGGGATGGCTCCCCTACACCTCAGGGCTCCCTGGCTCTGCATTCTTCCTGATCAGGGAAAAAGACCCTGCTTTGCTGAAAAGTCCCCCCATTTCTCAGCCACTTCCCAAGTCCTGGACACCATCTTCCTCACTCCTCTGGCTCATTCTCCACACACCAGCCCCAGCCATCTTCCCACTCTCACCCTTGATAACATCCTTCATCATGCCTGGCTTGCTGGGCCTCCCCCCCACCCTCCCACCCCCCGTCCTCATCTCCTGCCCCCCATCTCCTGCCCCCATCACTAACCCCAAACTGGTGCTTCAGTTACCGGGAACCAAGTGTCCCCTTGGGCCTCAGCACTGTCCCTCTGCCCACAATGTCCTTCCCTACTCCCAGGGCCTTGACTCCTATGTCACTTTCTCTTGCAAGACTTTCCTTCCTGTCTCCTCCAATGGGGCCAAATCTGTGGATTCCTGCCCCTCACCAAGATGTAATTTTACCTTTATTTGTGGTTATTTGGTTCATCTCTGCATCTCCCCTTCCCATTTCTGTAAGCACCCTGAGGCAGGGTCTCCTCTTGTACCTAAAAGTGTTTTTCACAAAGGAAGAGTGTTAATACAAATGAATACCTATGCCTTTTCCCAGCCTTTAAGCCTTCCACTTAGATCTGAATTAGCATATTCTTGGAGTCAAAGGTCACTAACCCCCCAGGATAGGCCTTTTCTGCAGCATTCTGGACCAGGGACTTCCAGCAGTCACTTACGAACCTCCTGTGATGGTGAGCTCACTCTTTTTCATGACAATCCATTTCCTGATCAATGGCCCTTTAGATAGCACTCTATTACGGGTGGGTTGAAATTTATGCCTGTGCCTGCAGCTTCCTTTCTTTCTCAGGTCCCATTTCTGCCCTGCCCCATTCCCCACACTCACACCTTCCAGTGCCACTCCGGGTTTTCTCTTCCTCCAGCCGGAGCAGTCCCAGTTACCTCAGATCAGAGAGTGGAACCCTGTCCTCCTCTCTCTGTGCCTTTCCAGTTTCTCACTGACCCTGTGAAAGATTTTACATGACTTCTGAGCAAGATTTTACCAACACATCCAATTCCAGACACGGGAAGAGGGCCTTCCCTGCTGAGGCAGCCACGTCTGCATCCGTGTCAGCCACAGCCCAGGCTGTCTCTGCTCCCCTCTCCAAGAGCAGCCTTCATGTTGTCCCATAAACTTGGGCACTGTCTCTCTCCTTCCTAGGCCTCAGTGATTCCACCTGTATAATGGAAAGAGTTCCTCTGAGCAGGAAGAGGAGCCCTGGGCCTACGTCCCTGTTCTGTGACCATCAGAGCCCCCCACCCTCCAAAATAAGATCCTGACTGGGGCGAGCTTCACTGGGCCTCGTGTTTAGAAGTGCCCTATGCTTGGTTGAACTCTCTGCTGTTGCCATCTTGATAATTTCTTTCTTTTTTTATTTATTTATTTTTAATATATTTTATTGATTTTGTACATAGAGGAAGGGAGAGAGATAGTTAGAAACATCGATGAGAGAGAGTCATCAATCAGCTGCCTCTTGCACACCCCCTACTGGGGATATGCCCGCAACCAAGGTACATACCTTTGACCAGAATCGAACCTGGGACCTTTCAGTCCCCAAGCCGATGCTCTATCCATTGAGCCAAACCAGTTTCGGCTTTCTTTTCTTAAATAATTTTTTCTTTATTGATTAAGGTATTACATATGTGTCCTCACCCCCCCCCCCATTGCTTCCCTCTCCCCCCACTCATGTCCTCACCCCCCTGGTGTCTGTGTCCATTGGTTAGGCTTATATACATGCATATAAGTCCTTTGGCTGATCTCTCCCCCTTAGTAATGTTTGAATGCGGGACCTCACATTGTCATTTTGCACTGGGCCCAGTCAATGGTGTCCTAATCCTGACACCTCTGTCTAGCCCTGAGATACGCTGACCTGCCCTGGGCCAAAGTGGTGACTCAAGGGAGAGACAGGCTGCATAGATAAGCATCTGTCTCATTCTGCCTACTTCTGGGTCCCAGCACATTTGGGGTCTCCAAGAAATGTCAGAGGTCCAACCCCATAGGGGGCTCCTGAGCAGCTCCTTGGCTCCCGCAGCCTTTCTGACCCAAAGCCCTGTCCTTCAGGAATTCTTCCTCGGACCCCACTCCCAGATCACTCATGGCCCCTCCACTGCCCACCTGCCCCTCCACTTGGGTTGCGGTGAAATGCTTGCCAATCTTAGAGTGGTGGGTGCTGGGTAAAACCCAGGAATTTATGTTCATTTTATTAGATGTGACAATGGCAGATTATATAAGAAAATGCCCACGAGCTACAGGCGGAAGTAGGTGGGGGGTAAAATGACAGGCTGTTTAAAATTTGTTTTAAAATACTTTAGCACAAAAAGGAAGGGAGGAGATGAAAGGAATCTTTTTAAAAAATATATATTTTATTGATTTTTTACAGAGAGGAAAGGAGAGAGATAGAGAGCTAGAAACGTCGATGAGAGAGAAACATCGACCAGCTGCCTCTTGCACACCCCCTACCAGGGATGTGCCTGCAACCAACGTACATGCCCCTGACCGGAATCAAACCTGGGACCTTTCAGTCAGCAGACCAACGCTCCACCACTGGGCCAAACCGGTTTCGGCTGAAAGGAACCTTGATAACGCTGAAGCTGGGTGACAGGTACACCAGCCACTCACTATACAATTCCACGTTCGTATGACCTCTCTTTAAAATAAAGGGGGCAGGGGATCTCCAAGAGAATCTAGAGAAGTTCCTTGGAATGTGTGTCCCTCCCAAAATATGTCCCTGCCCCACCTCTTGAAAGAACTTGTGTATGTGCATATGTGCATTTTCCCGGTTAAAAAACATCCACAGCTTTCATCGGAGACTCGGAAAGGTCGTGACCCTGCCCCCAAAAGATTAGGAATTCCTCTACCTTCCAGACTGGAAAACCCTGTTTGAAGCCGGGTTGCGCCCTCCCCTGGAGCGTGCCGCAGGCCCGTGGGTGGCTGTGTGACCCTGGCCCGCGTTCCCGTGCAGCCCGGGTCCCTGTCCTCCGGGGGAGATGGAGGTGCCGGGCCGCCGGCCCCTCCGGAGACTCTGACCCTCCGCGCGCCTCGACGCGGGCCCGGGCGGCGCCTCCACGTCCCCACCTCTCCAGGCCCCGGCCCGTCCGCCTCCCACTTCGGGTGGCAATTTGTCTCCTTTTGAACCCCCCGCCCCCGACGGGTTTCCCCCTTTGATTCGCGGCCCGGAGGCTCCCCCCGGCTTTGAAATGCAAACCCGCCCGGCCGGGGCGCGGGCCCGGGGCTATAAAAGGCGGGGTGGGGCGCGGCCGCGGGCGGCGGGTTCAGGTGAGCGGTGCTCGCCGGGGCGGCCCGCAGCCGCGGCTCCCGGGCCCAGCATGCGCGGGGCTCCCTGCGGCCACCATGTACGTGGGCTATGTGCTGGACAAGGACTCCCCCGTGTACCCCGGCCCCGCCAGGCCCCCGAGCCTCGGCCTGGGCCCGCAAGCCTACGGGCCCCCGGCCCCGGGGCCCCCGCAGTACCCCGACTTCACCGGCGGCTACTCGCATGCGGAGCCGGCCCCCGCGCCTCCGGCGGCCTGGAGCGCGCCCTTTTCGGTGCCCAAGGACGACTGGGCCGCGGCCTATGGCCCGGGCCCCGCGGCCCCGGCGGCCAGCCCAGTCCCGCTGGCATTCGGGGCCCCTCCGGACTTTAGCGCGGTGCCCGCGCCCCCGGGGCCCGGCCCGGGCCTCCTGGCGCAGCCCCTGGGCGGCCCGGGCGCGCCGTCCTCGCCCGGAGCGCAGAGGCGGACGCCCTACGAGTGGATGCGGCGCAGCGTGGCGGCCGGAGGCGGCGGTGGCAGCGGTAAGGACCCCTCCCCGGCCGTGTGCCTCCTGCGGTTCCCCTGGGTGCTCCGGCGGCAGGTGCCAGGGCGAGGCCCGGCTGCCCCCTGTCTGACCCCCTGTCTGTCCCCAGCTGACCTCTGCTCCGGCCCTGCTTGTGTTGGGCCCCTGGAGTGCAGCCTCCGACCACTCTGGCCCTGGGGACTGCGCTCTCAGCTTCCCCTCCCGAATCCCAGCTTGCGGAAGCACAGTCTGTCTGTCTGTCTGCCTAGGTAGGGAAACTGAGCCCTGAGGAGTAGAGGTACCTGCAGCGTGGGTACGGGCACGGGTGGAACCAGAACACTGCTCCGGACGCTTATCCTAGAGCTCTGTTAGCCACACCGGCCCTGGTCCTCACCGGTTCCTTCTCCCCAAGCGGAGGCTGCACACCCAGCCCAGAAGGAAAGGTGTCCTGATTGTAAGGAAGCAGGCAGGGCCCTTTCCTTTCCAGGTCCCAGTCCCCCCACAATGAAGAGATCGGTGGATCCTATCATCTGGACGGAAAAAGAGTCGCTTTGGTTAGATTGGCGCTAGGGTGGCTCCCTACCTTCCCATCCCAGGGTCCTTCCTGAACTCTTGACCCTGGGGGAGGGGAAAGCAGGAGCAGTTGGGAAGGTGGCTGCTGTTTGGCTCCTGAGCCTGTGAACCTCCTGCCCCCAGGCAGGCCTCTCTGATCCAGCCTCTTCAAAGGCAGGGGAGGGGGCAGGACAAAGGCCGGGCTGTAATGAGGGGCGGCCTGACCTCCTTTATAGGTTCCCCCCTTTGTCATGTAACTGGCTGCGCCTCAGCTCGGCAGTGACTCCTGTTGGCCGGAAAGTGAACACGATACCCCATTGTCCTGACTGTGGTGGGGCCTGTCCTGACAAAGGCCACCTGGCCGGGTGGGCGGGAAGTTGGCCTGCCCACTCTTTGATGTCCAGTCCCTCCTCCCCTTCCCCCAGCTGGGAGGGAGCCTGGGACTTCCCCACCTCCTCTTTCCCTTCACCCTCGAGTCTCCACACATGCCCCGCTCACCCAGGGAGCAGATGCTGGAGAAGGCGCGAACAGTAGCTACAGGTCTGGCTGCAATCAGACCACCTTCTTGGGAGGCTCAGGGACACATAATCGCCTCACTGCTCCCAAAGGCCTCAGAGAACTGGGACTTATGGCCCAGCTTTGCCTCTTGTTTCAGCGGCCTTGGCTACATTATGACAGCTAACATTTACAGACCAGGCACTGACCCAAGATAGTGCATGTGTTAACTCATTTAATTCTTACGTTATAGTAGGTACTGTTATCACCTTCGGTGTTGAGATGGAGAAATGATGGCATAGAGGGGTTCAGTATTTGCCCAAAGCTGTTTAACCAGCAAATAGTGAGGCTGGGACTTGAGACCTGGCAGTCTGACCCCCCCAAGCCTCTGGGCTAATTCTCTAAACAGCTTCTCTTAAATCCATCATCTCTTTCTGAATCTCAGTCTGAATCTCAGTCTGAATCTCAGACAGGAAAGGAAGGGTCTCAAATCTTTGAGTTACCAGAGGACCCCCTTTGTAAAATGAATGGAAAGTACAAATCTTGGCTCTAGAAAAGAGTGTTGCCTAAGTCGGTAGACAATTTCAGGAGTGCTAGGGGCCCCGGAAGCTTTATCCACAAACCCCAGTTGAGATCCTTGCATTGGATTATAGGAGAGAGGGCTTGTGGGGCCACGCCCTTAGGGTCCTGCCGTTTTGTGTGCCTTCCCCAGAGAAGGAAGCCCACATTTCCTGCTCCACTGTTCCCGTTGTTGCTTCCTGCTGATTGGGTGGCTTTGGAGATGGATGGGGAGGCTCCCTAGGGGCGGGGCTTGCAGAGAGGCCCTCACTGTGTGAGGCAAAGAGAGTGGGCCAGTGTGGGTCAGAGGCCTGGGGGAGCTTGCAGGCCCTGTGATGTCAGTCAGGTAAATCACCTCTTCTCTCGGAACAGGAGCTGAGAGCCCAGCTCAGCCTCTGGTCTCAAAAGTCATGTGGACGCTGTTGTTCTCAGGCAGAAAAAAGGATGTAGGAGTAACTCTGCCTAAAGGCAAAAGACCTCTCTCCCTTTTCTCCCAGACAGGAGACAAGAGGGCGAAGGGAGGCTTGGGGGCTTCTGAGGACAGTGGCTGCCCCTAGGAGTCAGGTGGGACTCGTTCTGCCAGGGAGGCAAGAGCCTTGGCCTTCTGAAAGCTAGACACTGCTGCCTGTCGGCCCTGGGGGTCGTGGGGGGGGGGGGGGGAGGGGGGCAGCTGACTCTTGACCAGAGCTCCTGAGAGTCAGGAAGGATTGGGGTGGGGTTACAGACCCTCCCTAAGAAAGAGGCCAAGTTCATCCCCTGTTTGGCCTCAGTTTTTCCTTCTGGGCAAGGAAGATACAAGCTCTCTCAGGGTTGTTTGCTGTGTCCGTGCTGTTGTCTCAGATGGCAGAGGGAAGGTCAGTGCAGGCTCCTCTCCCCTGCCCCTGGCTGGATTTCTTGCAAGTGTGGCTCACTGGTCACCATGACTCCTGGTACCGTCTTGGCCAGCCCATTTTCCCTCCCTGTGAGGCTCTCGCCTTCACAATATCTGCACTGGACATGTAGAGACCAGACATACAGATGGAGAACTGAAGCCCAGAGTCTGGAAGGCATGTTCTAGTTTCACACAAATGGAAGTTAGACTAGAATAGATGTTGGATGAGTCAGTTAAATTTTTTCCAAAGGTTTTCCATCATTTTTAGGGCAAAATCTTCACTCCTTCCTGAGAGCTCTGAGACTGTAGAGCTTTCTGCCTTCCTGACCTCATCTGAGGCCACTCTCCCTTGGGCCACCAAACTAGCCACTCCAGCCTTCCTTTGGCCTTTCAGAAATGCCGTGTCCTACTGCAGGTCTTGTGCATGTGTTGTTCCTTCTTTCCAGAAACCTTTTCCTTGACTTCTCACCCTTCAGGTCTCAGCTTAATGGTCACCTCCTCAGAGATGTCCTCCATGATTTCTCAAGGAAGACCCCTCTCCTCCCCATACCCACCAATAATCTTTACCATGTTTCCTGTCGAGCACTAATCCTGACTGCAATTTATCCACTTATTGGTGTGTTTGTGGGTGGCCTGTTCCCTTACCCACTCACCAAGGTAAACATCTGTCCATTTGGCCTGCCACTACATTCCAGACACCCAGCTTGGTGTATGGCACTTAGCAGGTGCTCAATGCATATTGCTGAATGAATGAACAGGGCAAGTGTGACATTTTGGCTTTGACATCGATTTCTGAGGTCCCGACCCTGGAGATGGGACCTGTGACTGTCCAGGCGGGCAGCTCATGCCAAAGGCTGTTCCTCTCTCCCTGAGGAACAGCCTTCCTCACCTGGGAATTGGCATGGCTAAGGCTGGGACTAAGTCCCGGCTTTATTCTAAGGAGGTGCCAGTGAAAATGGAGAAGATAAGGGTGAGGCTGTTGCCCTTCATCCCACAATCAAAGTATTAAACAGTTCCAAGGGATTATGGTCACTTGATTGAGGCCAGGGTAGGAAGTAACTACAGGGGATTCTATTTTTTTTTTTTTTGCCTTCCTCCTTTGCATCTAGACATACCAACCTTTTCATTAAGAAAGTTCTAAATCAACATTCTGTCCATACAAAGGGATTCACGGGTTAAGGACCCGTTAGGGTGACGGAGGTCCCACACAACCAGGGAGATGTCCACTCAGATGATGAGACGGCTGCAACAGGGTTTAAATCTTGGTCCAACCCCTTCAGCTTTCAGATGGAGAAACTGAGGCCCATGGAGGCATGAACCACTCCTTTCCCCACCCCATTCCAGGCCCTCCCCTTGGCCCATTGCCACAGCCACACTGGCCCCTCAACTCCAGCCTCTGATGCCCCAGCTGTCTTCTAAACCATTAACAGACTTACCTATTCCAGACACCTCCCCTACTCAAGAGCATTGCATAGCTCCCCATCGCCATTGCATTTTATGGCATTTCATGGCTATAAAACCCAGCCCCATTTTGAAGCCCTTTTGAGAACTGGCCCCCAACCCACTATTGTAGCTACTGTCCCACTGGTTTGCCTAGATAAGAGATGCTTAATTGCAACAGTTAAGATCTGGGCCTTCACTGTGAATGAATTTCCGTTAGAAGCTGTATTAGCATCGGGAACACTAATCTGGATCATTCCTCTGAGCTTCATATTCTTCCGCTGTAACATAAGGATAACAATAGGATTGCACCTTGAAGCAATGGTACCTAGATCCCTGAGCCTGGCGTAGGTGCTCAGTGACCATCAGTACCTCTGACCATCTCTTCTAGTCCTTAGCAGGTGCATTCCAGCACACACCCCGCCTCACCAGTCTGGGTGTCTCAACCTGAACCACCCTCCCTTTCCTCTTCTACATTTTCACCTGTTCCAATGCTGCTCCTTCTCCAAGGTCACCTCCTCCAGGAAGCCCTCCTTGGTTCCCCCCTCCCGGCACTCCATCAGGCCCTTGTATTAACAACATTGACCACCAACTGTGTTTACCTTTATCAGTTCCGTCCTTCTTGCCATACCTTGCCCATACCTTAGGAGCTATTGATAAATCTGATAACTGGTTTTGACTGTGCCAGGCACTGTGCCAAGAGCTTTGCCTGAGTGATTCCACCTAAGCCCCATAACAACCCTGAGGTGTGAGGTTCTATTATTAGCCTTATTTTTCAGATAACATTAATGAGGCTCAGAGAGGGTAAGGTGGCTTGCCAAGCTCCACAGCTGAGACTGGCAGCACAGGGCTCCAACCCAGACACTGCAGCCTGAGGAGCACCTATCTAATAAACCAAACTCCGTGGGCACAGGAGCCCAAGCCCCCTCCGTGTGCGTCCCAGCCCAGGTGGGGAAAAGGAGGCCAGTGAGGGAAGAGCGAGAGGAGGCTGGAGGGGGAGGGGGAGCACAGCAGGGGCCGAGCTGTTTAAAACTGACTCTCAAGGCAGAAGCTCCATGTGACACCTCATCTCTCAGATGTAGCTGGGAAGGGGGATGACCCAG